AGCACTCTCAATACCTTCCTAAGGCACAAACATTTAATTAATTTCATCAGATGCTCAAATTGTTACATGAAACTAGAGCTAGATTGTTGGAATGGTGAAAATGAAATGAAAAATACAGAATCCATGATGATAAGAGTTCTATAGCCAAGTTATTAACATCTAATTTCATTCTACAAATAATAAAAGAATATGGAATCCAACCAATTGTTATGAGATTTTGAGAAGCAAGACACCTCCCCTTCTTGCTCATCTATATTGGGAATAAAAGATTCAAGAGTATTTACATATCTTGCTCTCTGACAATTATGCAAAAGGGAGAATATTTAAAGTACCACAATCAGACCCTGTAAACTTTTGAGAAATGAAATTGACCTAAATAGATTTTAAACATATGAGATGAAAGACAGAATACCAAATATACCGTAGTAGATGGCTTAATTAGACTGTTACTACTGTACTTTACTGAAAAAAAAATAAAAAGAATCTATTTTTTAAAATAATTGCAATATAATGACTCAGCAAATGACTGGTCTACAAAAATCTCCTGGTAGATAGTTTTAATTAATTCATAAAGGCCTTATTGTTCTTGTATGGTCTCAAATTTCTTGAGATGTTTCTTACACTGCAGTGTTTTGATTCTTTATTCAAAACTCAATTTAATATTAAACACCAAAGCCAGCCAAATAATGAATAACTAACATACCGTTACTTGGATGTGGCATATTAAGATACTACTCCAGCTAGTTATAATACAATACTCCCACGTACTTAAATATACATAAATCACAATGCATAAGTAGACATGTACTTTCAACATACACAACGAACCTCATGTTAAAAAATATAGCTGCAACAAGCAGCACCATAAAATTAAAGAGGGGGCAATTAAAATTTAAGATACTTGTTCCTGTTGGTAGCATTACTGAATAATATTTTTACTAGAGGGTACTATAATATTTTATTTTTTTGTTGTCTTTTATTTGGTTTAGAGAGTAACAAAGGCTTCATTAAACTGGTTCTTCCTGATATGAATATTGGAAAGTGTCAGTGTGGCCTATCACCATTTTTAATGAATGTTTTATTTTTTAATAAGCAGTGTTTTATTTTATTTAAATGTATTTTTATTAAGAATGTTTTTATTGTAAACACATTTAGATGCATTGCGGAACAGAGATGCATAAATAAGACACACTATGTAAGTATCTCATTGGACAGTGATGGCGAACCTATCACATGTGCGTTCATCAACACCCCACAACTATTCTTGAAAGAATGCCTTGTTCTCATGCAATTTTGGGAGGGTGCGGAGCAGTGGTGGGTTGCCCCTGGTTCAGACTGGTTCTATAGAACTGGTAATAAGACCGGAGGGAGGCTCCGCCCACCGACCCTGACGTTATCAGAATGCTTCTGCGCATCCGCAGAAGAGCACACATGCACGCACAGCCCCATTGCAAACCGGTAGTAAAGGTGAGTAGAACCCACCCCTGGTGTGGAGGTTCCACAAGTTTAAGGTGTACTCTTGGGCATCCTCCAAAAATTCATTTGCATCTCGCCTTTATTATTTTTATTAATAATTCAAGGCAGCAAGATAACCAACACACCTTTCCCCTATTTTCCTCAGAACAAACTTGTGAGGTGGGTTGGGCTGGGAAAGACTGACTGGACCAAATTCACCCAGCTGGTTTTCATGGTTAACGCAGCACTTCAACTCAGTCTCCTGCTTTCTAGTCTGGTGCCTTAACCACTAGACTAGACCAAACAAATTAGTTCTACTCCTGTTTCATCTTTGTAATTATTTGCAGGACCTTCTCCTGCCTGCCTCTCACTGTCCTGTTCGCTCACATAGGGCCGCTCTCCTCAGGGTTCCGACGGCGAGCCAATGTCGTCTAGCGGTGCCCAGGGGTAGGGTGTTCTCTGTGGGTGCTCCCATCCTCTGGAATGAGTTACCTACCGAGCTCCGGACGGCTCCTGATCTCTGCTCCTTCTGTCGAGACCTGAAGACTTGGCTGTTCAAGCAAACAGGCTGACTCTGATTCCGGGTTTTATTATTTATTATTAATTAGTTATTTGATTTAAAATGGGATTTTATTGTACATGTTTCTTAACTTGTGTTCGCCGCCCTGAGTCCTTCGGGAGAAGGACGGCATATAAATACATGTAATAAATAAATAATTTAACATTTCTTTATATAATACATAGCACCACGTGATTGGACTGTATTGTTTTTAAATAAATGATTATGCAAAAAATCATTTCTCTGTTGTTTGGGGGGGAAGCATCTGGTGACAGGCAGCAGAGTCAAGTTAGTTCTTTCCTAATTTTTGATAACCTTTTGCGCCCAAAAGGTTTGTTTGTTTGTTTATTGTATTTATTTATTTATTTATTTATTTAACTAACTAACTAACTAAATAACCCACCCCTGCGGATGATTTGATAGTCAACCCTGAGGTTGACTATCACTGTTATAGGAGATATAGAAGCATGAACTATGCTGGATGGATATAGGCATTTCTCAACTTACAAACACAATTGAGCCCAAAATTTCTGTTGCTAAACAAGTCAAGTACATTTTACAACTTTTCTTGCCACAGTTGTTAAGTCACTGCAGTCAGTAGTACAGTTGCTAAGTAAATCTGGCTTCTCATTGATTTGCTTGTGAGAAGGGTGCAAAAGGTGATCACATGACTTGGGACCAATGGTGAAATCTGAACCTGTTTACTACCAGTTTGCTGGCTGCGCATGCGCAGTGCACACCTTGCACCAAATGTGAGGTGCCTGCGCGCAGTGCACGCCAAAAGGAGGCATGCGGTAAGTAGAACAGCATGCGACAGGGCGGGTGATCAGCTGTGGCGCGCAATCTTTTTTTTACTTCTAAAAGCATTGCTTTTAAAAGAAAAAAAAAGCCTCTGATGATCGCGCGGCTCAGCTGTGATCATCAGAGGCTTTTTTTTCCCTTTTAAAAGCATTTTTTTTTAAAAACTCCTCCGGCCGAAGAGGTTGTAGAAAAAAATGCTTTTAAAAGGGAAAAAAAAGCCTCTGATGATCATGTGGCTCAGCTGGGCATGGGCGGGGGTGGGAGAGATTTTTTCTACAGGTTCTCCGAACCACCCGCCGCCATCGCTACCAGATTGAGTGATCCGGTCCAAACCGGGAGCATTTCACCCCTGCCTGGGACACTGCAACTATCATAAAGCATCTGAATTTTGATCATGTGACCATGGGGATGCTACAATGGTAGTTAAGTGTGGAAAATAGACATAACTCACTTTTTCAGTGCCGTTGTAACTTTGAACAATCATTAAATAAATGACTGTAAATTAGGGACTACATAATAAAACAAAACAATTTTAAAAGATTCTGGCGGAATTTTAAAAGAGAGATTTATACTGGAATTCTTCCTTCTTTTAACTGAGAATAAGCCTTATTTTTGAGGAATATAAACCAGAGTTCTCAACTTCAAAGATAAAAATGGAATCAGTCTCTGCAGGAAGTACAAAAAAAGGGTGAATGGTAACCACTGTTCACTATCCCCACAAGGAAGAGAACTCCAGGTATATTAAAACAAGAACTGTCCTGGTGCTTTAAAGTCTATAACTCTGAGTTGCCTCTATTTCATTTGTTATAACTTTTCTGGCATATTATCCACCAACACTCAGTGGGTACAGGTAGTCCTTGACTTACAACAGTTCATTTAGTGACCGTTCGAAGTTACAATGGCACTGGAAAAAGTGACTTATGACCATTTTTTACAGTTACAACCATTGCAACACCCCCATGATCACACGATCAAAATTCAGATGCTTGGCAACTGACTCATATTTATGACAGTTGCCATGTTCTGGGGTCATGGGATGCACCTTATGTGGCCTTCTGACAAGCAAAGTCAATAGGAAAGCCACATTCATTTAACAACAGTGTTACTAACTTAACAACTGAAGTGATTCACTTAAAAATGTGGCAAGAAAGATCGTAAAATGGGACAAAAACTCACTTAAATGTTTCACTTAGCAACAGAAACTTTGGGCTCAATTGCAGTTGTAAGTCAAGGACTACCTGTATTATGTTGATTTTTTTTGCTTCTTATCTACTCATCATTTCACATTTTTTAAATCAGTGTATGTAAGCCGCCCGCAGTTACCTGAGAGATTGAGGCTGCATACGAACTGATAGATGGATTTTTTTTATTGGCCAAGTGTGATTGGACCCACACAAATAAATGCCTAATTCACATTATTGCACGTTTCATGATCAAGCACAACTTTTACTCCAGTATGGGCCACCACACATTTGCTAAATCTTTCAACCACCCCAAAAATCTAAGTGATTTTGTCTATGGAGATTCTCAGTCATCCAACTCATGGTTGTCCCAAAGGTGCTTTTTCAAGAGGCAACTGGACTTTCTGGGTTTGTTTTTTTTTCTTTGAAGACGTTTCACTTCTCATCCAAGAAGCTTCCTTAGCTCAGAAGCGAAACGTCTTCAAAGAAAAAGAAAAAAAACCCAGAAAGTCCAGTTGCCTCTTGAAAAAGCTCCTATGGGTCTAAGTGGGTTTTTCTGATCCCGGCTAACGGAGATGCCTCTCCTTAAAAGAAACACGCAATCTTGCTTCCCGCTGAACCCGCAGCGGGGATGGATGGCCACTGATAACAGAGATGACATAACGCTTTTTGCCCCTTCGGAAAAATAAAAATTAGCTTCTCCTCCCTTCTGAACAGCCTCAGCCGGGCGGTCCTTCCCCCCCCCCCACGTCCCCCAGGCACTCACCCCGCAATTGAAAGCGTGCTCCCGCACGTGCGCCACATGTCGAGATCGCGCGTGCTGCACGTGGCTCCTCTCGCACACCAGCAAGTGGCGGGGAGATTCGCGGATCCACCTCAGAGGCACAAACATCGCCTTCTCCCGCGCGCGCGCCCGCCCACGAGCCCAGCTGCGGAAGCCGGGCTGGACAGAGAGAACTGAGGCGGGGGAATCTCTACGTCACGCTTTCGTAAGGAGGCGGAGAAGAGGGCCAGCGAGCCCCGCCCAGGGGCGGGGCAAATGTTAAAGTGTTCAACGCATAGCCAAAACGTACGGCTGAAGCGTCCGCGCCTTTACTTAGGTGCAAGGAGCAGAAGGGACGGTTTGGGAATAAAAACCTGTTTTGCGGGGGCAACAGAGTACTTTGAAAACCTTAGGCTTAGAGCGTCCTGGCTGGGGAATTCTGGGAGTTGAAGTCCACCCATCTCAAAGGGGCTGAGGTTGAAAAACTGCGGTAGAGCAAATTAAAGGGGGGAAAAATGATAAGAAATTGAACAAACGGGGCTGCAACTAGACATGATTCAATGAGTGGTGATTAAACCTAACCCAAAATGAAAGTTTAGTCTCAGGTCTGTCCAGGGACAGGGGAAGCAGGGATATCCTGTACACAAAATCTGAGTGAAAAATAAGGCCAAGTGGTGATATTTGTGAGCTGTAATAATCAATTTTAATACTGAGATTTTTCAATTCAATTCCCTCGGCAATTTGTCTGCTCCATCCTATATTTCCTATAACTTAACACAAATTGAAGTGGTCAAAATACTATTTCAATTCATGTATGACTCCTAGATGTTTTTTTTTTTATCCTTGTGGTTCTCTTAATTGTTTCCTTTTCAAATCTCATTTTATTGAGAATTATAGGACCTCTGGACAAGAGTATATCAAGGTTACATTCAATTCTAGGAGTCGTTATCAAGTTGAAACGATTAAAGATGGCTTTAAGGCATCTCAATTGTAGACCGGGAGGAGACAGATGTAATTTATTGATTGATGTTATTCTTGATGTTATATAAAATCATTTACCAACGTGTGTAAGAAGAAGAGCCCTTAGAGTTACAGAACTGTGAATCTCACACATTTTTCTTTTTTGAATATCAAATCTGGAGCTCAAAAATCTTTTCAGACAGATTTATTCTTCCATTTTTTTTTTTAATTTTAGCAATATAACTTTTGGGAAGGAAGTAGGGCAAAAGTGGAAGTTAAAAAATATGCATCTAAAGTAACCCAGAGACTCATATCAGGTCCGCCTGATTCGCCAGTTGTGTCCCTTTCTGGATCGGGACTCGTTAAATACATTAAATACTTCCCGCTTGGACTACTGCAATGCTCTCTACATGGGGCTCCCCTTGAGGAGCACCCGGAGGCTCCAGCTGGTCCAGAATGCGGCCGCGCGAGTGGTTATGGGAGCGACGTGGCGCTCCCATGTGACCCCCCTCCTGCGCGAGCTGCACTGGCTCCCGGTGGTCTTCCGGGTGCCCTTCAAGGTTTTGGTTACCACCTTTAGAGTGCTCCATGGCATCGGACCGGGGTATTTACGAGACCGCCTTCTGCTACCAATAGCCTCTCACTGACCAGTACGCTCCCAAAGAGAGGGGCTCCTCAGGGTGCCGTCGGCCAAGCAGTGTCGACTGGCGGCCCCCAGGGGGAGAGCCTTCTCTGTGGGGGCACCTAACCATCTGGAACGAGCTCCCCCCAGAGATACAGAGGATCCCAGACCTGCGCACGTTTCGCCATGCTCTCAAAACTTTTTTATTTCAGCAAGCTGGCCTGGCCTAACTCCCCTCTTTTAAATTTTTTTTAACTCGTGATCTTATAAATTGGGTGTTTTAATCTGTGTTTTGGCCAAAATATTTAATAATTTTAAGGGATTTTTAATATTTGTGTTATCTGTATTTTATCTTGGCTGTTCACCGCCCTGAGTCCTTCGGGAGTAGGGCGGTATAGAAATTTGATTAATAAATAAATAAATAATATAATATAATATAATCAAGATGTAGGGTTAAACCTTTTAAAAGCTTAAATTATGTACCTTCATCCTGGAACTCTTGCTTGCATGTGAGGCTGACTGGGAAATTCTGGAGTTGAAGTCTGCAAGTCTTAAAACTGCCAAGGTTGGATAGCTTTGCTCTAACCAAAACCACTACTTAGGGTTGCTATGAGACAAACATAAATTTACTTTATTCTGACCATTTCCATAGATCCCAGGAGCAGAGAAAGAAAGAGGGAGGTAAATCAATCATTTGCTGACCTACCTACAGGTATTCATTTAGCTCTTTCTCTCCAAGTGACATGTCTAATCAATGTTCCTTTTATATTCAGCTTTAGAAATGCTTGCTCTAGAGGGTGTGGTGTTCCAGGCAATTGTGTCCCAACAGAGACATTGACACCTAAATGTTTATGTATAACAGTTGCAGCCACATTGCCAAGTAACAGTGGTCCATACATTTTGCATGGAACCACAAAATGAGATTTTATTCTCCTGTCTCCATGAAAAAGAATAAGCATTTCTTAATTATAGATCATACCTTAAGTTTTATGTGCAATGCCTCTTTTTCCTTTGCAATAACTTTCTGAGAAAAATATATTGGTGAGAGATTTGCCTACACTTTAAGGCAAAGAGCCAAAGTAGACATAATTGGATCACTAATCCTCAGTTGGCTCTGACCTCAAGCTAAATCACTTACCTCTGGTGTTTCTGCTAGCTGCTATTAGCAGTGGAAAATAGCAGCTGTATGGGCAATTTATTTGGAAACTGACTAGTATTTGAGGAAAGGATTAAATGATTATCTCCTCACTCCAGATTCTTTTCGCCCCAAGTTACTTTTCAGGAGAAGAAATATAATGTGATGAGATCCATTCACATTATTCCCAAGTTATACTTACTTGGCCCTAAATAATGTTATAGATTTGTTGCATACGAATGTACTTCAACCAGGGAATGAAATAGGTAGTTGTTTCCTCTAAGAGTTGACATGGGAACATGTACTGCCTGATAAAACCAGTAATGCAAACAGCAGAGTGACAATATACAAAAATAATTCCAAATTATAGGAAGGACTCGATAGGTGGATAAAAATGGCAAATCCAGTCTAAACATCTGGCTGACTATGCAAACAATCACTATAATAATACATTATGCTTGTACGCTGCCTGGCTCTCAACAATTCTGGGCAGTTCACAACAATCAAACAAAGAAATTACAATGAAATAAATAAAACCTAAAAGATAAAGATAAAAGATGACAAGCATGACAGGCCAGATGGAATGAAGTGAAGAGTCTCACTGAACCTTGCCAAGGTACATCTAGATTTTGGGGTCATCTATATTTTGAGGAACCCTTATTCCAAAGGGCAGGTGCTGCTGCAGAGAATGCATCAGTGGTGGGATTCAATTTTTTTTTACTACCGGTTCTGTGGGCGTGGCTTGGTGGGCATGGCTTAGTGGGCGTGGCTTGGTGGGCGTGGCAGGGGAAGGATACTATAAAATCTCCATTCTCACCCCACTCCAGAGGAAGGATACTGCAAAATCCCCATTTCCTCCCGATCAGCTGGGACTCGGGAGGCAGAGAATAGATGGAGGCAGGGCCAGTCAGAGGTGGTATTTACCAGTTCTCCAAACTACTCAAAATTTCTGCTTCCGGTTCTCCAGAACCTACTAAATACCACCTCTGGAGCGCATGCTTCAGAATCCCAGTAGATGACATTGTTTCATCAAAGGAAACCAGAGGATGCCATCCCTGCAAGATAAAAACAATCAGGCTGATGTTATAGGTGACAGGTGATCCCTCAAGTAATCAGACCTTATGCCATGTACAATTTTATAGATAATAACCAGCACCTTGAATTGCATCTGGAAGCAAACTGGCAGCAATGCTGCTTGGGCAGCAGAGGTATTACATGGGCATACCTAACATGCCCATCACAGCTTGCACTGCTGCAATCTGGACCAACAAAATTTTTTGGATGGGCTTCAAGGGAAACCCCATGTAGACCATGTTGCAGTAGTCAAGCCGCAAGATAACTAGAGCATGACTGATTGTACGAAGTCCTTTTTCTTGTCCCAATATGGGAAAGTGCATACCTAATGCACCAGATGGAGGCTTGGTAACACTCTTTAAGCAAGAGCTGCAAATCTGGGAGCACCTTCAGATTGCATACGAACCTGGAGTGGTACCCCAAAGGTCGAAAGTGGAATATCCCCAGATCTGGGTTTGCACTTACAGTCACCCAGTCTTGGTAGGCTTGAGTTGGAAGCAGTTCCTTCCCATCCAATGTCGCATAGCTTCCACTAAAATATATATTTAAGTAAAAAGGGTATCATATTGTTAAGCATTATAATGAGGTCTTATATCACTTCCTAAGCCCCCATTATGGAAACATTACTGACCCATTAGGATGCCAGCCAGAATAACTAGAATCAAACTAAACAACTAAACCAAGCTAAATTGAATGCATAGTGCTGACACTCTAATTGCCAATTGCCAGGGAAGCCTCAAGCAAGGCACTCTTGCATGGCTAATGTTTCTGAAAGCTTTCAATACCCAGTGCTTCTTGGAGAAATGATATTAGGACTCTTGTCTGACAGAATACTTAACTGAAAAGATCATTATTTACCTAAGGAACAAGCCCCTTCCTAACCAGGAAGGGAAGATAGCTAGAGGAGTAGGGGAAAACTCATGAAAACATTTCTTAAGCTCAGGCCATTTTGTACATTTGTTTCAAAGAGAAATGTTTGCTATAAGATTCACTAGATTAGGATCATGGTCTGATGAAAGAGGGCATCGACTCATCGACTAATGATGTTCATTGTCATATTCCTTCTTGCACAAGTAATCCTCAATTTATCACCATTTCTTTAGCAACCAATGGAATGCCACTGGAAAAAGTGACTTACAATTGGTCCTAACACAACGATCACAGCATCCCCTTGGTCACAGGATAAAAATGTATGTATTTATGTATTTATGATAGTTGCAGCATCTTAGGGATATATGTTCACCATCTGTGATTTTCTCAGCCAGCATCTGACAAGCAAAGGCAATGGGTGAAGCCAAATTGTCTTAAGGTTCACACCGTTCCTTTAACAACTGCAAAGATTCACTTAACAAGTGTGGCAAAAAAGTCATAAAATCCAGTATGATTCATTTAACAACCATCTTGCTTAGCAATAGAAATTCTGGTCCCAAATGTGGTCATAAGTCAGGAACTACCTGTACCGCAATGGGAAGAAAGCTCCTATGAATGGAACTTTCTCCCATGGATGCAATTTTTCCAACTGCAAATAAGAAATGCTAATAATGATGAAGTATTTAATTGGGCTTAGGGTACAAGCAAAGAATTAGAGCCATCTTCTTCCTTTACTAGAGTTTCAATCTCCCACATTCTAATTTATTTAAAATTAAACATGCCGTGGGGCTACTTCCAAGCATTCATGTCATCTGTACCATTCCCTCTAATAAAAAATCAAGATATAGCTGTTATGTTTAAACAGCCTTTGCAACAAAAGCGATACACAAATATGCTTTAAAAAAGTATGGCTATTGCAGCTACTAAAACCATATAATCCTGTTATAGAATGGGGATATAAATAGGACAAAATTAACCAATCAATTAATGTAGTAGTCAATGCAATAGGCTAGGTCCAGGGATGAGGGATGGGATGGTTATCACAATCCTGACGTAAAGGACCACAACTGGAAAGCTGCTCCCAGTTATTTGTATTTTAAGTATTTATTTATTGGGAAAGCCTCATAGTGTTGAATCACGAGGTCCCTTGCAACTCTATGATTCTATGGTTCAGGTTGCTGAGATTCCCCACTTGCTCATAAAGCATCTTGTATAATTGAACTACTTGCTTGAACATAATTCTCGAGGTAACTGAAAAAATATTAACTAACATGCAAGGAAAGAAACATAGTTACATCCATTAAGATAAAGTGTACAAATTTTTTTGGCGGGGGAGGCAGGGAGGAGAATGAGTCAGTTAAAGCAGAATTGTTCAGAATTATCACACTGGCTGAAAACATTTGATTTCTTCTCTCTATATATTTTTTCCTAAATACAGTTCTTACAACTTCTTAACTGAAAACCTAGAAGTATATCAGACTGCAATATGGAGCAGAAAATTGAATTAGGGTAATTTAATTTTAATTTTCATGCATTCCAATTAATCTGTTGCAATTAGGGGATAATTAAATACAAATGATTTGTATACTTTTAATATAATGTTTGTTTTATTCTACTGATTTGAAATGCTGTGAAAGATTTGTTCTTCCAGTTCTTCAAAACACAATTTTGCTGAAATGGAACCCATTTATTACATTAAACACATAAAATGATTCATCTAAATGCACAGATACCCCATTTCCCTACAGAAGTAGTGATACATCTTCCTTATGAATCACATTATCTTTATAATTTTAAACAATATTTCCTTCAAATATTTTCCCCAACTTTCTCTATGTAAAAACCTCACAGATGTAGGTTAGCAAGCAAGAAAAAGAGATTGCCTTTTCTACATTCTATAATAGATTTCAAAGCTAACTGGAGATTTAAACCCAGGCTAGATAATATGACATCCCAATTTACTGCCTTCTCAGTGCTGGGCTATAGCTGTCAAACTTCCTGAGATTGAGGCACTGCTTCCATATTTGGATTGCAAAACTCCAGACTACCAGTAAAAAAATAATTTTCTGTGGATTTCACATTTTTAGTTGTTGTCATCTATAGGGGGCAATACTTATCTCCGTTTCAAGGCCATTGAGCAAGGCCGTTGAGCCAGCACTGTCCAAAGACATTTTCGCGGTCATGTGGCCAGCATGAGATCACGGAGCATCTTCCCACTGAAGTGGTACCTATTTATCTACTTGCATTTGTATGCTTTTGAACTGTTAGGTTGGCAGGAGCTAAGGTGAGGATGGGAGCTCACCCTGTTGCTTGGAGTCCGGGTCTCAAACTTCCATCCGACAAGCCCAGCATCTTAATCACTGAGCCACGCCACCCCACTCCCCTATATTACCAGTAGATGGCAGAAAAAAGGATATTTCATTAGCACTTTGCTGCCTCCTATTATCCATCAAGAGTATTAAAGTCCATTTCCATAGTAGCTTTCCTTATCTTAAGGGAATTGTGCTCTAATATACAAGGAATGAATCAGATTGGAACAAGCTATGATAAGATTTGTCGGAAAAAGTGCTGATAGACTTTCATTCTATAGCACTGTTGCATGGCTTTTGGTTATGGAGAAGATCAGTTGTCAGGAATCACATGCAGTAAACTAGAGAGTTTGGAGTTATAATGTTAGTTTTGGAAAGTAAATGTTTACTTATATAAATATATATTTTGTGTGTGTGTGTGTATGCAAGTGTATATACTGGTGTTTATATTACAATACCACTTTATAGCAAACCTATTTTTTGTAGAGAAAAGGGTAAAAGCATGTAACTAATCTTTGTGCAGCATATAAATGTTTTACTGAAATCATTAAAAACCTAAGGTTTCCATCAGAGCCTGAAAACATAAGAAAGGTTTGTCTGGTGCAAAGATAAAACCATAAAAAGATGCCAGATAACCAAAGCTTTCTGTACAGGTAGTCCTTGACTTACGACTACAGTTGAGCCCAAAATTGATGTTGTCAAGTTGAGTTTTGCCCCATTTTACGACTTTTCTTGCCACATTTATTAAGTGAATCACTGCAATTAATAACACGGTTGTTAAGTAAGTCTGGCTTCCCCATTCATTTTGCTTATCAGAAGTTTGCAAAAGGGAATTTATTTATTTATTTGTTTAAATTTCTATACCGCCCTTCTCCAATATAGGACTCAGGGCGGTGAACAGCCAAAGTAAAAACAAGACATATAAAATCTAAAAACTGTTTAAAATAATTAAATATTTTGGCCGTAATTAAAACAATTCCAATTTAAAATCAGTTTAAAATTTAACTCAAGCCAGCCCAGCTAGTTGAAATAAATGGGTTTTCAGGGCCCGACGAAAAATCCGGAGGTCTGTTATTGTACGTATCTCTGAGGGGAGGTTGTTCCAGAGGGTGGGCGCCGCCACAGAGAAGGCTCTCCCCCGGGGGTCACCAGCCGACATTGTCTGGCGGACGGCACCCTGAGGAGGCCCACTCTGTGCGAGCGTACTGGCCGGTGGGAGGCTATTGGTGGCAGAAGGCGGTCTCGTAAATACCCCGGCCCTGAGCCATGGAGCGCTTTAAAGGTGGTCACCAACACCTTGAAGCGCACCCAGAAGACCACCGGGAGCCAGTGCAGCTCGCGCAGGAGAGGTGTCACATGGGAGCGCCTCGTCGCCCCCATAATCCCCCGCGCGGCCGCGTTCTGGACCAGCTGGAGCCTCCGGGTGCACCCCAGGGGGAGCCCCATGTAGAGAGCGTTGCAGTAGTACATGACTCAGGGACACGGCAACTGTCATTAATATGAGTCAGTTGTCAAGCATCTGAATTTTGATCATGTGACCATGGGGATGCTGCAATGGTCGGAAGTGTGAAAAATGATCATGTCACTTTTTTCAGAGCCGTTGTAACTTTGAATGGTCATTAAATGAACTGTCGTAAATTGAGGACTACCTGTAATCAGCTTTTTAAAAGTCTCTTTTAAACTCCCTTTTTAAATAATCAGACAAAGGGATAAATGGAAAAGAGGAAATTATTCTGCTATAATATATTTATATCTGCTATAATAGCTGTATATGTACATAACACGAGGACTGTATTTCAGCATGTAGTGACCGCCATTTGTTAGCCAGCCAGATTTTTAGAGAATGTTAATGCACCCCTGCTTGTATAAATCATTGCTTATTAACAATGTAAAATTGTTTATTAGCAATATAAAGTATATATGAGAGCCAGCTTGGTGCAGTGGTTAAGGCATCAGGCTAGAAATTGGGAGACTGTGGGTTCTAGTCCCACTTCAAGCTCAAAGCCAGTTGAGTTACCTTGAGCCAGTCATTCTCTCAGCCCTAGGAAGGAGGCAATGGCAAACCACTTCTAAAAAAACTTTGCCAAGAAAATTGTAGGCATTCTCCAAGAACTGGACACAACTGAATGAAAGAAACAGAAGAAGACAAAAAAAAAAAAAGATAAACAGTATCTATCGCTATCCACAAAGGGATGGAGCATTCAGCTTCAAGGTTTAGAAAAAGTTAATGAAATGTGTTTCCTTTTACTGTCCAAAGAGCTGAAGTAGATACAATTTCCTGTGGGAATTTTTAATGGAAAAGACAGGCTCAGAAAACAACTCTTGCACTGCAGTTAAAACACTGCTAGCTGGCTCGTTAATCTGAGACTCCTAGAGTTCCCTCTTGTATAAAATGAACAGATGAACAGACAACATTCAAGTATTTTGATAGGCATTTAACACTGAATTTGGGTGCTATACATTTTATTTTAATTCAGCGGTAGGATAAGGGTTGTTTATTTCAACAAAATCACACTGCACTACACATTCATAGCCTTGAGTCTTTGCGCCTTGCCTTCCGGCAGACTTTAAAGGAAATCTAGTGCCAATTGACTAAGCATTTTGGCAAACAGGCCATCCATTGTTAATTTCTGCTTACATTTTAGATCTTTTCTCTCCTTCCTTCGCCTTAAATTTGTTTAAAATTATACATAAATTATGCAAAAATACTGGAATCCAATTTGCATTATTGTAGTTCTTAGAGCATAAGACTCGTCACGATATGGAGGTATCTTAGCAAAAATTATGAAAGATCTTAAGATTGTTTTTCCTGTCCATTGAACCCTAATTTAAGTAAAGTATTTATGTGAATTTGGCTTTAATTGACATGAGTGAAAATTGTGCTTAAGTTCTGGAATATTAGCTTCAACAGGGTGCAGTAAAGGACGGTTTACAATGTTTAGGGGTTTTTGTGGGCTTTAGTAAGAGAGAATTCATAACATTTATTATGTTTTCCACAGGAGTAGTAAAGATGGATAGTAATAGGAAAATATTAGTCATGGGAATACTACTATTTTTGTTTCAGGATTTATATTTTAGGCATTGCAGTGTCTGTATACATGATGAATGTCTGTTGAATACCATCAACACATTATCCAATTTAGAGAAAATATAAAACAAGAATGTGTTCTCATAAAGTAATTTGTCTCCTAAAACAATGGCATATCATTGTTTTGGGCTCATTTAAAATTTTGAGTGCATTGAAGATGTTCCCACAAAGTGACTGTCATGGGGCTACAGGGTGAGGGAGGGGAAAATGTTTTTACTGGCAGAAAAACCGGTAAGTTTGCTGTCTGTTGTGATTTTTATTTTCTGAAACTTCCTGTGGAATGACATGGAGGCCAGAGACAGAAAGAAGAAACCATAGGCTGCAATTTCACTATCTTGCAGATCAACTTCACATTTAATTAAAAGAATTTGAAAGCAAGATTGTATAGAAAGTTAGCACCTACCCTTCTCCTAGAAGAATGAAATATTCTAGGAAATATTAAAAAGGCAGAATATTATACTTCCCTGGATGAGAAAAGGAGATACATGGAAAGAGACGTGGAAAGTACATGATACTTGGAAAGCAGCCCCCACCTTTGTTAATAGCCCCAGAAAGACTGGACCATCCTATCTATAAGACAAAAGACCTTCACCCTCAGGACATAATAGGATTAGCCCTCTACTCATCTTACCACATGGCACCTGGGAAGATGACATCACCCAGCAAGATTCAGCTGAGCCTGGGACTCAAGACAACCTACAAAATTACCTCTGCATGGCCCAATGGGAGTCTGACAACCAATCAGAATACATTTCTTTCACAGGAACAGGAAGCAAGTTCAAAGCCCAAGAGTGGGTATAAATATATTTCCACTCCATCTGGTCAGCTACCCAGGACTTCAAACCATGTGGTCCTGTCCAGCATTAAACCATCTTTCCAATCAGCCTCCATGTTTCCAGTGTCTTTCTTCCCACTTGGAACTGAACCCAGATGGACATTTCTTCCAACAGTTGGATAACCAATAAAACCTTTTTGGCCTACAGTACTGTTGAATCAGGTGGGGTGGCACTTTCAGTGTCAAGTACATTCAGATACTTTGCCCCTAAGATTTGTTGAATTTAGCGGCAGTTGATTTGTTTCTTCCATCATTGCTTTGGTCTTCTCCTCTAGCT